ACCCGGGCTGCACGCATGCTGGGCAAGCGCACTACCGCTTGAGCCACATCCCTAGCCCTGAATTTTTTTTCTCTTAAAGCAGCTTTCCAAAAAGACCTTCCGAAAGCCAACTCATATACAGTAATCCCCTTTGTCCATAGTTCCATTTTCCATGTTTTCATTTACCGTGAAATTTACCGTCTACAGTTTGAAGCATTAAATAGAAAATTTCAGAAAAAAAATTTATTATTTCATGTTATTATTTATAAATTCATCTATTTTGTGTACAAGAAATACATGCAGACTAAAAGTAAATGGGTAGAAAAAAACTAAAAAAATGTAGCTTTATTAATTTCAGATGGAACTGACTTCAGAGCAAGAAAAGTTGTAAAGAATAAAGAAGGGCATGACATAATAATAAAGGGGTAAATTCTCCAAGAAGACATAACCATCCTTAATATATATGTGCCCAACAGTCAATATGAGAGGCAAAAACTGACAGAACTGCAAGGAAATAGATGAATCCACCCATTGCATTTGGAAACTTAGGCATGCCTCTGTCAGAGCTGGCAGATCCCAGCAGGCAGAAAACCAGTAGACATAGTTGAGCTCAACAGTTCTATCAATCAACAGGGTATAATTGACATCTGGAAACTGCTTTATCCAATAACAGCAGATTGCACATTTTTCTCAGGTTCACATGGAACTTTCACCAAGACGGTCACATCCCAGGCTCTAAACACACATTAACAAATAATACTGTATGTCTTTAGAGAATGCAGTAAAATTAAACATGGAAATCAGTAACAGAAATATAACTGAGAAATTCTAAAACATTTGGAGATTAAACAACACATTGCTAAATACCTGATCAAAGATAAAATCTCAAAAGATATTTTGAACTAAATAAAAATGAAAAATTACATATCAAAATTTCGGACAGAGTAAAAGCAATGTTTGAGGAAAAATGTGCAGCATTCAGTGCATATACTAGAAAAGAAGAAAAATCTGAAATCAATAATCTAAACTTCTACCTTAGGAAACCAGAAAAAGAAGAGAAAACTAAATTTGAAGTTATCATAAGAAATGAAATCATAAAAATCAGAGCAGAAATGCATTGAGTTGAAAATCGGAAATCAGTAGAGAAAATCAGTAAAACCAAAAGCTGGTTGTTTCAAAAGATCAATAAAATTGACAAACTACTAACCAGACTTGAGAAAAAAGGGAGAAGACAATTTGGATTAGTAATATTAGAAATGAAAGAAGGAATATCACTACAGATCCTGTGGACATTAGAAGGATAATGAATAGTATAAACAACTCTGCCCACATTGATAACCTAGATAAAATGGACCAATTTCTTGAAAGACACAATTGCCAAAAACTTATATAAGAAGAAATAGACAACCAGAATAGGTCTATATCTACTAAAGAAATTGAACTGGTAATTAAAAGCCTTCCAAAATAGAAAGCACCATTCCTAGATGGGTTTACTGGTGAATTCTACCAAACATTTTAAGGAAAGAACTATCTTCTCCACAGTGTTTTACAGAGGATAGAAACAGAGGAGATACCTGCTAACTTTTTCTAGGAGGTCAGCATCACCCTAGTACTGAAACCAATCAAAGACATTTCAAGAAAGTTACTGTCAGGCATGGTGGTGAGCACCTGTAGTCCCAGCTATTTTGGAGATGGATGTTAGCACAGAAGTTCAAGACCAGCCTGGGCAACATAGCAAGAGCTTGTAAGATTAATTTTGTCAAATCCCATTATGTCAAAAATAGATGTAAAAATCCTTAACAAGATATTAACAGATCCAATCTAGCAATGTATGAAAGGAATTACCATGACCACGGGAGGTTTATCCCAGGTATACAAGGCTGGTTCAACATTTGAAAGTCAATTAATATAATCTGTCACATGAATAAATTAGTAAAGAAAAAACACAATAAAATCAATACATGCTTTTTTTAAAAAAAGCATTTGACAGAATTTAATACCCATTCATCTTAAAAGTGCTAAGCGACCTCAGAATAGAGGAAAACTTAATGGTAAGAAACAAGAAGCTTTGTCTCTAAGATAGGAGCAGAAAGAGGATGTCCCACAGCACTCTTCCTTTTCTGTGTCACACTGGACGTCTTAGCTAATGCAATAACACAAGAAAAGAAAGGGTATACAGTATAGGAAGGAAATTTTAATGATTATAGAAAATCTGAAAGAATAGATCCGATCCCCCTCCAAAAAAACTTTCAGAACTAATAAATGATCATATCAAAGTTGCAGGATACAGGATTAATACACAAAAGTCAATTCCTTTCCCATACATCATCAAAGCACAAGTGGAATTTGAAATTAAAAACACAGTATCATTTACATTAGCATCCAAAAAATGAAAAAAATCTAAATTTCTGTACCACACATGACATGTCAAGAGAAAAAGAAGGCAAAAAGACATATCTGATAAATGACTGTTATCCAAAATGAGGAAAGAGCTCTTAAATTCAGGGCTATGAAACAACCAACCAATTAAAAAATTGGCAAAGAAGATATATAGATGGAAATTAAGCATATGAAAAGATATTCCATGTCATATGTCATTAGGAATTGTGGCTTAAAGTTACAAGAGACCACTGCATGACTGGGAGAGTAGCAAAATCCAGAACATAGACAACATCAAATGCTGGCAGGGATGTGGAGCAGCAGGAGTTCTTGTTTGTTGCTGGTGGGAATGCAAAATGGTGCAGCATTTGTGGCATCATGGCAGTTTCTTACAAAGTAAAACATATTCTTACATGAAATCCAGCAACTACAGTCCTTGATATTTATCCAAATGAGTTGAAAACTTAAGTCCATGTTAAGTAACAGCTTTATTCATAAATACTAAAACTTGGAAGCAATGGAGATGGCCTTCACTAGATGAATGGATAAACTGAAACATCAAAACAATGTGATATAATTCAACACTGTGAGCTATCAACCTACGGAAACACATGGAGGAAACTTAATGCACTAAGTAAAAGGAGCCAAACTGGAAAGACTACATATTACATCAATCCAACTCTGTGACAGTTTGGAAGAAACAAAGTTCTGGAAAGAGTAAAAAGATCAGTGGTTGCCAGAGCATGAGGCAGGGGGTGATAGGGAGGAAACAGAGCACAGGGGATTTTAGGGCAGTGAAACTCTTCCTTACATACTACATGATAAACACAGGTCATTGTACATTTGCCCAAACCAATAGGATTGCACCAAGAGTGAAGCCTGATGTAAACTATGGACTTCTGGTGATAATGATGTGTCACAATAGGCTCATCAACTGAAACAGATGTGCTGTTGTGGTGGAGGATGTTGGTAGTGGGAGAAGTTGATCATATGTGGGGCAGGAAATGTATGGAAATTCTACTTTCTGCTCCATTTGACTGGCAGCCTTAAAAGCTCTGTGTTTTAAAAACATTGTGGTGAGGAAGATCTGTTAACCTGCAAAAATATTAACATTAATGATTATGAAACAAGTTCTATTCTTTTTTATTTTTTTTCTCCCTCACTGGACTTGTGGGGGAAAACTCTGTTCCTACCTCCTGGTGCCTAGCCAATAGTAAAAATAACAGTAATAACTGAACATTAAAATAGTGGATTTAATTATGTGTTGGCTACTGCTCTAAATGCTTTACTTATACTCATTTAAATTTTGCAACAACCCTTTGAATTACATATTCCAAATTTACAAATGAAGAAACTGAGGCACAGAGAGGTCAAAACAGCTTGCACAAATGTACATAATTAGAAAGTGATAGAAACAGAATTTGGATTCAGACAGTTTGGCTCCAGAACTTGCACTCTTTGCCACTAATTTGCACCACCTTTGCTTAGAAGGCAGTCAACAAGTATTTGTTGGTTGGTGACTAAATGATGAATACATAAGTAATAAAATGAATGGAAAAGCAACTTATTATATTGGTATTTTTAGTTTTATTCCCCCTGTGCTGGAGAATCAAACCCAGGGCCTTGTGTACACTAGGCAAGCACTCTACCACTGAGCTATATATCTCCAGCTGATTTAAAAAATTTATTCATAGGAGAGAAGTGTTGGGGAGCCAAATTAGGCAAAATATGTTGTAATATTGTGTGCATGTACTAATATATAACAACAAATCCCACCATAATGTACAACTCTAATGCACCAATAAAAAAATGTTGGGAAAAAATTCATGTGAAATATCCAAGTGTCCTTCAGCAGTAACAGAGATAATAAATTGTGGTGAAGTTGCACTGTGGAATATTATGCAGCAGTGAGAAAGACAGGATGCAGCTTCATGTGATAGTATGTCTGATTCCTATAAGGGTAATGTTAAACAAAAAAAGTCAAACACTGAAGAGTACTGTTCACACAAAGGACACACAGACAGGAGTGTGTAGAGGATTCAAAAGGGCCAAAATTCTGCCCTTCCCAGTGACCTGGTAGCACTCAGGGTGATGACTGGAAGGAGGCTTCTGAGAACTGGGAATGTTCTTTCTGTTCCATCATCTTCCACAGGTTACATGGGTATGTTCCAGTTGTAAAGATCTTTGAGGTATACACTTCCATGTGTACTTGTTTGGAAGATAATTTCTACTTCAATGAACAGTTTCTCCAGTGGCTACCATGGGGAGTGCAGATTTGAAAAGATGAATAAGAGTTTGAAAGTGTATTCACCAAAATATTAGCAGTAGACATTTCTTGCAAACAGTGGTAGTTTTCAGTTTCTTTTTTGAGGCATTCCTTAGGCTTTCCAGGTATAAGAAAATTGTTTTGTATGTAATAAAATTTTTAAATGCAATTAAAATAAACTTGCCCCTGAATCAGTGCTTGCTTCCCTCAGCATGAGTAGAACATGGGATTCTCCCCTGATTGGTAAAAAGAGACACCACTGGCTGCTTGGCTTACCTGCCTGGCTTTAGCCCCCAGTCTCTCAAGCCTTGCAGCATGTAGCAGGGATTTATAATTAATATTCTGTGGGTTTCTTGTATTTTTATTTCTTTCCTAGGCTGAACAGTCAAAAGAAGAACAGAAACAAGATTTGAATGCAGAAAAATTGATGAGGCAAGTCTCCAAGGACGTGTGTCGACTTCGGGAACAGAGCCGGAAGGTGCCTAGGCAGGTGCAGTCCTTCAGGTGAGTGGCCCTGCCCAGGGATAGTTTTTGGATTATGCCAGTCATCTGATTCTGTAGGAATTCACTTCAGAGTGCAGTGAATGTTAATATTAGAAATTGAGGATTTTATGTGACCTATTTCAAATAAAGTAATTCAAGTATTTTAAAATACCCTGGTTTTTGATTGTACCTCGAGGTCTCCACCAACATCATGCCCACATTCTCTTGCCTTTTGAGATTCTTTTTTTATTTTTATTTTTTAGATTCTTATTCAACTGAACTAATCCAAAGGACACTATATCACAAAAACAACTCTCAACCCAGTCTCCTCAGTGTTTTTACTCTTCCTTTTCTTTTCTACCTTTCCTTAGTCTTTAGACAGAAAACATCCTCCCCAGTTCTTGTTTCTAGCCCCACTCTCCCTCTGCCATTGAGTCAGTCTGTTTCTCAAGTGGGGCCAGTGCTCCATCCTTTATGGCTACCAGCATGACCTTCCTGTGCCCCAGAACTGTGTTTAAGGAATACTATGTACCGTGTGAGGTTTTGTAAAAAGATAGATTGCTCTCACCTTTGATGACTAACTGTAAAATCCTAAAATCTTGTTCTTTCTGGTACTTTCCTAACTTGAAAACTGTCTGTCTGGTCCTTCTCAGCTTCTCCCTTGTGGGTTGCTTCTTCTTATCCCTGCTTTGGGATACAGGGCAGTTTTTCCCTCTAAGCTGATCAGGTTTCTCATCTCTCTCCATTTGTGTCATGGTATACTCACCCGGTTGTCCCTGCCTTAGTATCTTGCTAACTGAAAGAATTTCCCTGATATTATGGACTCTTCTGTGAGGTCACTGGGAAGGGCAGAATTTTGGCCCTTTTGAATCCTCTACTATCTTATTTAGAAACACCTAGATTTTTAAAAATGGTCTTATGTTGGAAATCCCCAAAGGAAATTGGCTGGGTCTATAGGTGTTTACCATAGCCAGAATTTTGGTTGTTTTTTTTTTTTTTTTTTCCTACCTTTAAAAAGCAGAGACTGTCTTGACTTTAAATGGAGTTCTGTCTGAGGAAAAAATCTCCCATCTGGGCTTGTGGGAACACTGCTAAGTTCTTAGAAGTATTTTAATGCAGGATTTTTTTTATGAGTACATTATAATTATACATAACAGTGGGATTTATTGTGCCTTATTTATACATGACCATAACATAATCTGGTCAGTCTCATTCCTTTACCTTCCCTCTTCTCTCCGTTCCACCATCCACCTGTTCTACTCTACTGATCTCCCTTGTATTATTATTTTAATTAGTGCATTTATATATAAAAGTGTGATTCATTGTGGGATATTCATACATGGACAGAGCATAATTTGGTAGATTTCATTCCCTAGTACTTCCCCATGCCCTCCTCAACTTCCTCCCTCTCAAATCCCTTCCTGTATCCTCTGTTGGTTTCCCTTCTATTTTTTGTGAGATCCCTTTTTCTTCTTCTGTTTTTTTATTTATTCTCACTAGCTTTCACATATGACAGAAAACTTCTACCCTTGACTTCCTGAGCCTGACTTATTTCACTTAGCATAATGTTCTCTAGTTCCATCCATTTACTAGCAAATGACCTAATTTCATTTTTTTATGGCTGAGTAAAATTCTGTTGTGAATTCATATCACATTTTCTTTATCCAATTTGTCTGTAAGTGGACACCTAAACTAGTTCTGGCACTTTCCTAACTTGAAAACTGTCTGGTCCTTCTCAGCTTCTCCCTTGTGGGTTGCTTCTTCTTATCTCTGCTTTGGGATACAGGGCAGTTTTGGCCACTGTGAATTGCACTGCTATAAACTTGTATTCTGGCTTTAGTTCTTTTGGATAAATAACAAGGAGTGGAGTATTTGGATTATAAGGTAATTCCATTCCTAGTCTTTTTAAATATTTTTTTTAGTTGTACATGGACACAATACCTTTATTTTACTTATTTACTTATTTTTTTTAGTTGTAGTTGGACACAATATCTTTATTTATTTTTTTATGTGGTGCAGAGGATCGAACCCAGGGCCTCGCACATGCTAGACGAGCCCTCTACCGCTGAGCCACAATCCCAGCCCCCTGTTTATTTTTTTATGTGATGCTGGGGATTGAACCCAGTGCCTCACACATGCTAGGCAAGTGCTCTTCCACTGAGCCACAACCCTGGCCCCCATTTATAGACTTATAAGAAATCTTCATACTGCTTTCCAGTATGCTCATTTGCAGTCCAACCAACAATGTAAAAATGTACTCCACCACCACATCCTCACTAGCAATTGTTGTTATTTACATTCTTGACGTTTGTCATTCTAACTAGAGTGAGATAAAATAAAATCTCAGTGTTCTTTTGATTTGTGTTTCCCTGGTTGCTAAGGATGTTGACCATTTTGAGCATCTAGCTAAAGTTGGTGTTCTCATCCCCACCTCTAGGGAGAAGATTGCCTACTTCACCCGAGCGAAGATAAGCATCCCGTCCCTGCCAGCTGATGATGTGTGACTTCATGGCTTAACAAATTGTTTCTCACCTGTTTACTTTCTTAGGGAGGGCAAAAGACTGAACAATTTGCTTTTTCTTTCTTTCTTTCTTTCTTTTTTTTTTGTAACATATAATTGTCAACTCTTGAAGAATTTTCATTTTATACCAGATTTTCAATATGTTAATTTGTAAAGTAACTTGAATGTAATCCTTATGTGTTTAAAGAAAGACAAAACATCTGATAACAAAAATGGGATAATCTGGCACACCAATGTGCAGCGCACGTGTGTCCCCAGTGGCTCCATCGCGTATGTGGACAAGAGGCAGTGAGTACCAGTGTCTACCCCTGAGCTGACTGCTGGGAAGCAGCTTGTGTCAGTGGCGTTCTGGGATTTTCTTTGTTTCCTTGTGAGGAGACTGTGAAGGTGGCAGTGGTGCCATGCAGTGTTTCTGAGCTAGAAAGCCGCTCTTCCTGTTGGCAGTGAGCACAGAGCTGAGTCCTGCACAGGTGCTGTGCTCATTCCCATCACCTGTGTCAGAACACTTAAGTTCCTTAAAACAGCTTCCTCTCTGTCCTTTTCATAATTGTCTTTAGACAACTATACTGAATGTAAGGATATCAAGAATGCCAAGGAGCAGTACTCCTTACTACCTTAAAGATCTTAGACATTGAGGGCAAGGTGGAAGAGAGAAGCACACCAGAAATCCTAAAATACACTACAGGAGCTCAAAAGAGGAGCAGCTGCTACTTCTGACTTCACCTGAATTTGCAAGTGATCCAGTTTCTAGTCTGCACCAATGCTCTGTCCTAGGCGTGAGAATGGTGCCAGCGAGAAGCTCATGGGGTCCTGGGTTCCAGGGCCAGACAGCACTGTGAGGTAGAGGGGACGCATTCTCACTCATTGGTGAAGCCAAGAACAGAGGAAATGGTGTGTCTGAATTGAATTGAAGTTGCCAAAATAAATAGTTTATCAAACAGATTTCTGACATTTACTAGAAATCACTTTGCAGCTCTCATTTTTAAGGGATTCTATCTATAATTTGTGGTAAGTAGTTGGGAAGCAAAGGAAAGAGTGCCTGGGAGGGAATTATTAATTTGGAGAATAAGGTAAATCATTTGTTTAACAAGAAGGAAAGAAAAAGAAACTATTTTGGATGAACAAGTTTGGCAATATAAACTGACTAAAGCGTCCTGTTTCCCACTGTAGTATTTTAGCTTACACAGCCCAGGCACTTCTTTAAAGAAATAAGTCCTCAGTATAGCTTTGCCACCAAAAGGCTTTTACAGTATATAGTCTATAGGCAATTTAAGCCATACTTATTATTCAGTCTGTTATACTGGAAGAAGCAGTTTTTGGTTAGCCGTCTTGTATAGCAAACTAAGTTCTTTTTTTTTTTAAGAAATGCAAAGTCATCTTAAAGAAGAAAAAGTTTTGTTCCTATGCTGGAATTCTCACTAGCAAAAAATTTTATTTTCTTGAAACTAATTATACATATTTTGGAAAATTTATTTTATCAGAATCAAAGCCCTTAAGCAGTTTCTGAGCCTAAAAGTTTCTTTTTTTTTTCTAAATATTCCATAACTCAAATGCAAATTTCTTGGAAGATATAACTGGATGTGACCCCTGCCTTGAACAAAACCCAGCCTATTGATGGACTGTACAGTCCTTCTAGGCTGCCCAATCTAGTGTTAAATGAATAAGGCAAATTAGAAAAAAATACCATTCATCCTTGTTAAGGTCAAATGTGAAAGAAGTTTATTTAATGTAGAGTTAAATGAAGGTCAGCTGTTTTCAGCTTCTTAGTTTGACCATGAAAATGTTTATAGAACTTGTGTAGTTGTGCCGTACGATTTTATTTTCTTCATTTATTTATTTACGGTCTTATTTATGTTCTGTTTAATATATAGTTTGGTTCTGGCCATTTTAAATGTTTGACATAGAAGAGGCTATATTGGAGTATTTTACAGCTTTATAAACTTCACCAGATTAACTGTTAACTTTTTGTAATACAAAAAGTTTCAGACAAGTATTAAAGAATAAAATCTGTCTCAGGCTGGTAGTTAACAGTGTGACCAAGAGACTTTTGGTTTTATTTTACAAAATTTGCTTATTCTAACATGAGAGGCAAACTTATTTTAATATAATCCTTTCCACGCTTTAAAAATCAGCAATAGTGTTATGTATTTATAGGCAGCTTTTAATACTCTTGTCATATTTGTACTAACCCAAAAGATTCACAATGACAAAACTTTTTACTAACTTTGATCACAAAACCATATGGACAAATATGAATTTTAATATAAATACTATTTTAAAAAGGTAGAATTTATTCTGCACAGGGTAAAAAGAATGTAATATTTAGATCTCAATTTTGAATTATCAGTATGTTATTACAATTTTGTATATCAGAATCTTAAGTGTTACAGGTACAAAAAGAATATTACTAGCCAAATGAACAAAGTTTAGCTGAATCTCTGTAGCATGCAAATCCAATAAAATTAAAGTTGTTTTTTTTTTTTTTTTTTTTTTTTTGCTATGGCTTTATATTGTATTAAATATCAAAAGCTCAGGATTGAACTAAATATTTAATCAGGTTAAATTCTGAATATGTTCCTGCTTTAATTTGTCCTGTTTGTCAAAGTTTGCAAATACATCACATAGATTAACTTTGGTTTCTGCACTTTCCATGTGTTTGCGGATGGGGGAAAAAAATTCAACTTTTTTTAAACAAAGATACATATTGCTTAATACTTTTCTGTTGCCTATTGTTCAGTTAATTTCCTTGATTGGCACAAACACAAGAGTTTACTTGAATCATGTATCAAGCAAATACAAAATGTTCCACAAAGAATTCCCCGAGCCAGAAGTTTGCTATGAGTAGCTCTTGTTTGGACTATATGTATTGCTGACTTTAAAGAGAAGAAAAATGGAGCATCTTCCTTGTGCAAGGGAAATGAAGGGCTCCCAAGTGCATGCTCTGGCATAGCACACCTAAGCTGGCACTATGCCTTCTGCCCACGCACGTCTGGACCTGCCATGCCCCCTGTGGCTGCTCAGAGCCAGGGGAGGATAGGAAGGTCGACCATGAAGTGAGCATAGGACACAGAAGCAGATACACATTTGTGTGGCAGATTCTACATGAATCTTCCAGAACACAAGATTGCCCTCCTCTGCTTGAGGACATGAATGAATGTAAAGGACTTCTGGAACAGGTACCATAGAGGTACTGAAGCCCCTGATTGAAAAGGATGATTCAAAACCTTTAAATAGCCAGCAATTTTTTAGTGTAATCAGGTGTCATGCGTTTAAGATAAATATGCAGAGAGATCTTAGTTTCATTATTATAGGTTATCCTAAAAACCTGAAGGAAGTAAATGATTAGCAGTAATGTTTCTAATTGCCAAAATTATTCATCTCCATATGAATAATACCTTCAAAGATATGTAACTACTAAAATGACATTTCATTTACCAGTTTTGTTCAATCACTGAGCCTGTTTTAAAATTGAGAGAACTCTTATACAGAAATGAATGTGATTACTATTAGGTCTTGATTGGTTTTGGTCCAAGTAGAAAATAAATGTTGTTTACCAGTCTTAGAAAGAAACTGTTTTTTAAAGAAACTAATAGTCACAAGGGGAAAAGTGCATTTTAGGTAATCAAAAGCATAATGAATGGGTGACTGTGCAGCATGAGATCCTACCGAATCCAGAGTTGAGCAAGCATCACCTTGAAGAGTAGATACCACTGATCCCTCCTGGCTTAGACTTTTGGGTTGGTGTTTTTCATCTCTACTTGTTGACAGTGATCTTGCATTTCTGCCACTGCATAGTGGCCAGAAGCTCCAGGGGCTGGGGTGGAACAGGCTGCACAGTAGAGCAGACACCCTCCTAGCAGAAGAGAAAAGCCAGCAGACCAGCCAGTAAAGAGGGCTTCCCCAAACTCCCACCTGGGAACAATCTCTGGGATGGTCTCATCCCAGAACTCCTGAACTGTCAGGTAGGCAACCCAGGAGACTGGAACGAGGGCTGTGACTCCCGAGGTCCAGAACAGAACTCCTCCCAGGATTAACAGTCGCTTCTTGAGATCTTGCTGTCTGTCTACAATTCTCAAACAGTCCAGGCCAAACCCCGAGACCAGCAGGCCCAGGAATCCCAGCCCGTTCGACAGAAACATTAAAATCCGGGAGATTCTGAGTTCAGCCGGCAAAGCCAGGAAGGAATCAAAGTCCTTGCACTGCCTCCCCACATCCTCCTGGATGACGCAGGTTTTCCAGAGTCCCATGGTCCAATTTTCCATTTCATTTAAGTCCAGGTTGAGGTTCTTCCAGTGCGGCAGATAGTTTGTAAGGCAGGCTAAAACCCATCCCAGCAAAGAAAATAAAAGTCCAATAGACTGCATTGCTATTCTAAAGACTAAAGCCATCATGAAATCCCGCCAGGCTTAGCCAACCCTACTCCTGCCCTCCGGTTGCTATGAAAAGAAGTGTGACACTTGAGTTATCTCTTGTGGAGTTCATAAATATTTTTTCATTGTGTATATAGGAGGATTCTTGCCAGAGTTGATACTGTTTGATTCCATGATGAAAAGGTCTCAGAAAAGGATAGGGAAATAATGCTGTAAACCAGTAATGCCAAGGTGTGGCCCAGATCATATTCATGTCCTATGGTCTGAATTCTGTAGAAAGCACTTTGTCAGTAAAATAAATTAAGTAGTACTAATCCTCCTTTCATTGTTAAGGTATAAATGGCTTTCTTGTTGTTCCTTTTCTAACAAATCAAAGAATTAAGAAGTCTAAATGCAAAAATGTTTAATTGAAGGTTTTGGTTCAGCTCCTCCTGCTTTCTATCATGCTAATTGCACCTGTCAGATTTTCTTCTGTTACAGTTCTCACATTTCAATGTGTATGTTATGATAATACTGAGAGTTTTCATTTTTAAAAAAATAGGTTCAAGAAAAGTATTTCTTAACCAAATAAATCAATCTTATCAGAAATCTCTAGACCTTAAGTCAGGCCTGTTTTTTAAAATCTCTTTGGCTACATTTAACACCTAGCATATGAAACAATACTGAATTAAATATCAGGTCTGCTTATCTACATGCCTTTCTCTTAAATTCACTCAAGTATGCATAAGCACTTACTGTTTTGTTTTGTTTTGTTTTTCCTTTGCTGAAATGTTTTCTGTGCTGTGGAAAAGTTAAGCAATAGAACTTTGTACATTAGGATCAACATCTCTAGTCAACACTAAATTTAATCTGTATTCCTGTGTTTGTAATTTTAGTTACGCACAGGAATATTTTAATTCCAGCAAATGAACTGATGATATTTAGATGTTAAAAAAATCTTTGGAATTGTTCTTTTCTAAATATGATGTTTTTTAAAAATCTGCCTCATAAAATTAAACAGGGTGCTGAGGAATTTCTAAACACAAACCATTTTTATTCAAAGAAGATCAGTTATTGTTATGGAAATGATAACTTTGGGATTGGCTTAGCATGTGGTTTTACTGATGGAGAATAGTTCAGATTGTTGTTATTTTCTTTAGGAGACAATATCATTTCCAAGTACTAACAAAACAAGCTTTCCAACACAAAATGAATACATTAAAGCTCCAGACTATGTTGGACAACCACCACCACGTATTTATTTAAGTAACCAGATCAATGACATTATTTTCCTTCATACCTATGTAATGCTTGCCATAACAATTTTCTTTTAGATAGAAGACTTCCCTTCATTCATCTCTACAGTTGGGAAGAAAGAGCTTAGTATAGAAAAGTAGTCATGGAGTGAGAAAATATGAGCAGCACAGATTTAGTTACTTAACAAAGACCTTTTTGTCATCATAGGTGGTACAGAAGATGACTGGCCTTGTCGGCATCCTACACTTTAGGGTCTGTAGTTCCATTTTCCAGATATAGGCGCCGAGTTTGCATTTCTGCCACTGCATAGTGGCCAGAAGCTCCAGGGGCTGGGGTGGAACAGGCTGCACAGTAGAGCAGACACCCTCCTAGCAAAAGAGAAAAGCCAGCAGACCAGCCAGTAAAGAGGGCTTCCCCAAACTCCCACCTGGGAACAATCTCTGGGATGGTCTCGTCCCAGAACTCCTGAACTGTCAGGTAGGCAACCCAGGAGACTGGAACGAGGGCTGTGACTCCCGAGGTCCAGAACAGAACTCCTCCCAGGATTAACAGTCGCTTCTTGAGATCTTGCTGTCTGTCTGCAATTCTCAAACAGTCCAGGCCAAACCCCGAGACCAGCAGGCCCAGGAATCCCAGCCCGTTCGACAGAAACATTAAAATCCGGGAGATTCTGAGTTCAGCCGGCAAAGCCAGGAAGGAATCAAAGTCCTTGCACTGCCTCCCCACTTCCTCCTGGATGACGCAGGTTTTCCAGAGTCCCATGGTCCAATTTTCCATTTCATTTAAGTCCAGGTTGAGGTTCTTCCAATGTGGCAAGTAAGTTGTAATAATGGATAAAACCCATCCCAGCAAAGATAATGAAAGCCCAACAGATTGTGTAGCTATTCTAAAAGCTAAAGCCATTGCAACAAATCTTGCAACTTTGCCACCCTATAGGATCTGCTGTCCTTTGTGGTTGACAGTAGTGTGACGATCTTGCTTCTATGCTGCCTGGAATATAAGCTTTGGTCATTAACTCTTTGGGCTCTCTGAAGTGTGTTTTTGTTCCTCTTGAATATAATGTTTCATGTAAAGGATGGAGGACTCTGTTAAAACTATGAGTTAGGCTTTCTGATAAGGATTTGATCTGTTACCTTCCAATTTGCTTGGTAAAATTATATCCTCAATGCTTGATGATTATAAGTCTAAGGATGAACAAAGAGGGCTCTATGACCCCTCACCCTAAAGTACAACAGAAATCTTTGTGCTTCAATATGGATTAATTAGATTTTAAGTGGTGATAAAAGGCCAGCTCTTTCTGCAACAGGACTTCATTGTAGTAGCTGAATCTGAGATTCCAGGGATGCAAAACAAGGCCTTGTAAAGAAAGGTAGACTGTTTCCCTATAATCTTCATTCTTCTCCAACTACCTTAACCTACACAAGAGCCTGGCCCATGTTCTTGAGTGTCACAGGGACTCAGCTGGAATTTGGCAGAAAGATTTCCCTTGGATTCCTTTGAAAGGTAGAGGCTGGTTCACTGGATTAATTAAAATGGAAAGACCTGAAGCTGGTGCCCAGAGGTGCTAAGTGGGGAAGGGAGAATCCTGGGAAATTCCAGTTTTCCCCTGCCACTTTCTCTGTCTTCATTAAGGGCTCCAGGTAAAGCAGGCAGTCTTGGTACCCAGGAAGGTGTGTTTGGTCCAGAGCCAAGTGCCCTCTTCGTTTCAGCTGCAAAGGCAGAGAAACTCCAGGCAGCAAGACTCCTGCCCCTTCCAAGACAGATAGCTCACCTTTGAGGCTGCTGCTTGTGTTTGGGGTTTAGACCACACCTTGAGAGCATACCTCTGCAGAGCATGACCCTCAAGAACCCAAGGCCTCTGGGCCAGGGTGAAGGGCCACATGCTCCAGATTCTCCAACTCTGGTATAGCCCAGCTCCTCCCCAAAGGCCCCACACTGAGAAGACAAGATCCGATGGGCTGAGAGAATGTGCACATTCTAAAGTGAAGCCCCTGCCCTGCAACATTCCAGCCATGTAGAGCAGAAGTTCTGCACATCGTGTTGCAACGGGTTGAGTTCAGTCCAAAGTCAGAGAAGATCTTTTATGATGTTGCTGAGTAGGAGATCAAAGGGACATATCCTAGATCCTGAAGTACCCAAACTAAGCATAAGAATTGGGTTAGAAAGGGGTGGTACTCAATCTTTTCCCTTCATCTTTTTTAAAAATAGATTCTAATTTTTTAATGTGTTTTTTTAGATATACGTGACAGTAGAGTGTATTTTGACATATTATACATGGAGTGTAACTTATTCTAATTAGGATCCTATTGTGGTTGTACATTATGTAGTTTCATTGGTGGTGTATTCATATATAAACATACAAAAGTATGTCGGATTCCTTCTGTCTTTCCTATTCCCATCCCTCCACCATTCCCTTTATTCCCCTTTGACTAATCCAATGAACTTCTATTCTTTGCTCCCTCCCCTTTGTTGTTTGTTAGCATCTGTATATCAGAGAACATTCAGCCTTTGGTTTTTTGGAATTGACTTATGTCATTTAGCATGATAATCTCCATATCTTTCCATTTACTGGCAAGTCATAACGTCACTCTTTTTTATGGCTGAGTAATATTCTATTGTGTATATGTGCCACATTTTCTTTATCCATTCATCTGTTGAAGGGCACCTACGTTGGTTCCATAGTTTAGTTCATGTGAATTGAGCTGCTATAAATATTGATGTGGCTGCATCTGATTTTAAGTTCATTGGGTATAAACTGAGGAGTGAGATAGCTGGGTCAAATGGTGGTTCCAAGTTTTCTGAGGAATTTCCTTACTGCTTTCCAGAGGGTTACACAAATTTGCAGTTCTACTAGCAAAGTATGAGTAAAGCTTTTCCCCACATCCTCGCCAACATGTATTGTTACTTGTTTTCTTGATAATTGTCATTCTGAATGGAGTGGGATAGAATATCAGTGTAGTTTTAATTTGCATTTCTCTAATTGCTAGAGAAGTTGTATATTTTTTTCATGTATTTGTTGACCAATCTTATTTCTTATTCTGTGAAGCACCTGTTCGGTTCCTTTGCCCATTTATTGATTGGGTTATTTGGGTTTGGGGGTTTTTTTTGTTTGTTTGTGTGTTTTTGTTGTTGTTTTTGTTTTTTTGGTGTTAAGATTTTTGAGTTCTTTACATATCCTGGAGATTAATGGTATGTCTGAGGTACAGGTGGCAAAGATTTTTCTTCCATTCTGTAGGCTCTCTCTTCATGTTCTTGATTGTTTCCTTTGCTGTGAAGAAGCTTTTTAGTTTGATGCCATCCCATTTATTGATCCTTGATTTTAGTTCTTGTGCTTTAGGAGTCTTATTGAGGAAGTTGGTTCCTAAGCCAACATGATGGAATGTTGGGCCTACATTATCTTCTAGTAGGTGCGGGGTCTCTGGTCTAATGCCTAGGTGCTTGTCCACTTGAATTGAGTTTTGTGCAGGCTGAGAAATAGGGGTTAAATTTCATTCTGCTACATGTGGGTTTCCTGTTTTCCTGGCATCTTTTGTTGAAGAGGCTATCCTCCAATGTATGTTTATGGGAGCTTTGTCTAGTATGAGATAACTATATTTATGTAGGTTTGTCTCAGTGTCCTCTATATTCTGTTCCATTGGTCTTCGTGCCTGTTTTGGTAGCACTACCATGCTGTTTTTGTTACGATAGTCTGCAAATATAATTTAAGGTCTGGTATTGTAATACCTCCTGACTTACTCTTCTCACTAAGGATTGCTTTGGCTATTCTGAGCCTCCTATTTTTCCAAATGAATTTCATGACTGCTTTTTCTATTTCTATGAAGAGCATCATTGGAATTTTAATAGGAATTGAACTAAATCTGTCTAGCGCTTTTGGTAGTATAGCTATTTTAACAATATTAATTCTGCCTATTGAAGAACATGGCAGATCTTTCCATCTTCTAAAGCCTTCTTCAATTTCTTTCTTTAGAGTTCTGTAGTTTTCATTTTAGAGGTCTTTTACCTCTCGTGTTAGATTAATTCCCATTTTTTTTTTGTTTGTTTTTTGAGGCTATTGTGAATGGGACAGTTTTCCTAATCTCTCTATCAGCTGATTCATCATTGATATATAGGAACACAATGGATTTATGGGTGTTAATTTTATATCCTGCTCCTTTGCTGAATGCATTAATGAGTTTTAGAAGTTTTCTGGTGGAGTTTTGGGGGTCTTCTAAATATAGGATTTTTTTTTTTTCAAATCAGCTAGTTTGAGCTCTTCTTTTTTATTGTATCCCTTTAATTTCTTTTATTTGCTTAATTGCTCAGGCTACAGTTTTAAGGATTATGTTGAATAGAAGTGTGGCATCCCTGTCTTTTTTCTA